AGTCCCCCTTGGGCGAGGTGGGGGGGGGGGGGGTGGAGTTGTAGCCAAGAGTGTTTTTACTTCAGGAGGTGGGAAACAAAACTCAGGCACTGGTGGGAAGTACCAGGAAACTTAACTTCAGTGGTTTCTCACTTGTACATCTCTGCAGGTATTGATGAAGATGATGCTGCTACAGAAGAGGCGAGTCCTGCAGTCACTGAAGAGATGCCGCCACTTGAAGGAGATGATGACACATCGCGCATGGAAGAAGTGGATTAAATAGTCATCTAGTTTACAGAAACTTGTGAATGTTTCATTGGCTGATGAATAAGTTATATTTTGTATATTATGAATGTTACCTGCCAAAAAACCTGGTACTCTGTCTGCATTCCCTCTTTATATTTATTTTCAAAGATGTTATGCCTTTATTTTTGTTACATTTGCTTTTTCAGCTAATGTGAGAGAGAATGCCACCGAGGGAATGTTTTGGGGTTTTTTCTTTTTTTTTTCTCCCCCCTTTTAATATTGTACAACCCTAGACAGGCAAGCAAGGAGTAATTATTTTTGTCTGTATTAGCTGGCTGCAGGTTGGCAGGGTTTTTGACTTATTCTAATTGCCAGAAATTTGGAGAAAGAAGTAACTTAGACATGGCATAACATCTGGATGTTGTAATATAACATTATACAGCTCTTCATTCTATATGTATCTAACATTCAGTACCTAGTAACTAGGTATCTACAAGAGCTGAAGATTCTTGGAAGCTTTAACCTTGCTCCTAATTGTTTCAAGGTTGTCTTGATGTTAACTTCTTGGGTTTTTTATACTGTATAAGGATTCTGGATTGCACTATCATAGGATAGAATCCACTTGTAAATCTTGTGTCTTATGCAACTCTGCATGTGCAGTTCAACCCTAGAACTGTAAGAATAAAAGTGTTATGAATGAACACTAGAAGTGAAATCGGCTTTCTCTCTCCAAACAACAGTAATGAATTTTTTTTGTTTCCAAAGCCAGAATCGCTCTAAACTTGACTGAAACCTAGTCACTGACTAGTGAATTGCATCATAAAAAACTAGAATCTTTTTCCTTTCCCACTTGTTCTGCTGCTTGTTCATTTTCCTTTTTCCTTTTTGGGGAAGCTCTTGTGTTATTGTGCCCCTTGGAAACATCTCTTTATCCAAAGCTTGAGCTTCTAAGAAGGAACCAAAGGGTTAATAAGTGGTGTAGTCAGCTACCTTAATTGCAACAGTGGGCATCTTTTTAAGGTGCTAGTTGTAGTCATGTAGAAGTAGTTTTCTAGCAGGGGTGCAACTGTAGTAAAGTAACCTTAGTTTTTGGCAATACCCAGGAAGAAAATGGGAGATGTGTGCTTTCCCTTGGTACTTACTGTTGTTTTCACATGTTGTTCTGCCTAGAACGGGACCTTGAGGTGGTAAAAACTTAGGATGTCTTTACATGTGCTGCAGGAAGGTGTGGTTCTGAGAGCCACTCTAATTTTTAAAGCATCTGTTGTATCGCATGTATTCAGGGGTGCTTCAACTTGGCATGCTCACCTAGACTTGATTATCATCAAGTGTTCTTCAACACATAGTATTTGGCACATGTTGAAGCAGGTACCTGACACCTGGTGTGCATGGGTGCCCATAGTGTGGACACTATCTCCTATGAAGCTCTTAAAAGAGGTAGTTTGGTTATTTTGGGGCAATGCACACAAATGAAAGTCCTTGGAGGGAAGAGTGAACTTACAGCACCCTGTAGACCATCTCAGCCTGGCCAGAGGGAGGGACAACAGTACCAAAGCACTTCCTACACAACTTCAGTCTTTCCCAGTGGTGGGCCAAAGAAGATTGAACAGGGATCCAGATGTTTCTCACAGAAAAATGAAGGAAAGTGCAGATTTTCCCCTTTATCTGAGGAAAATGGATTTCTCATTTTACCAGAGAAACCTGTGGATTTTGCAGTTTTGAAAAGAGCTCTGTCACACTCAGTTCCAGCCTGTGAGGGAGTGGGAGGAAGGCAATCAGGCAGGGTGCTGTGTGTATATGTACATGGCTGCCAGGCACCCTGGAGAGCAGCTCCTGAAGGTAAGGGGGAAGGGGATTGAGGCCCCCCAGAAGGAGGGAGTTGGGCAGGGCTGAGGTTGCTGCCCAGCGGACCAATGCATCAGGCTTGAGGCTGCAGCGCAGGGTGGGGATTAGGGTGGCTGCAGGCAGATGAGGGGAGAGGAAAGGAAGCATGCTGATGCTGTGAGCATTCCTGGGGGTGGGCAGGAGGCACCCATACCTTTCAGATATGTGCATGGGGTGGGGGCAGGGCTTCCCCCAGGGCCTTTGCAGCCACACATGTGCAACTGGCACTGGGGCACGGAAGCTGCTTGCTGCTGCCAGCTCCCCACTGCCCTGGCAAGGCGTTGCATGGCAGCAGCAGGGGTGGCTGCTCAGGGTTGTGCCCCTTGCTGCTGTGTAGGCAGGGGATGTTTTGCCAGGGCAGCATGGAGCTTGCAGTAGCAACAAGCTTTCCTGCGCAACCCTGCTGTTCCCTGCAGCTCTGTGTCACACCTGCTGGGCTGCAAAGGCAGGACTCTTGAGCCCATGGCAGGCACCCTGTGCCTGCTCACCTATGCATGGATCCAGGGAGCATGGGTCCCTGCTGCTCCCCTGTGGAGTGCATGCAGCAGTGGGGAGCCACCCAAGCCCACAGCAAGCGGGGGGTGGGGGAGGGACTCAGACTGCTCCACTGCAGTAGCCACTGCCTGCTGGGAGCAGGGGGCTGTGGACCATAGTCCCTGGCTCCACCTGCTCCCCTGTGCCTGGGCTCCACCTATCCCCACTCACCCCAGCTTCTGAGCTGTGCTGTGCTGTGGTGCAGGCAGCTGGTGTTGGTTGCTTCCAGGGCCACCACAGCAGGGGCTGGGGTCTGTGGGGAAGAAGCAGAGCCCTGGGCAGCACAGGGCATGGCACAGCTTGTCTGCACTCACCCTAGCCCCTGCTGTAGCGGCCCTGGGAATGACTAACACCAGCTGTGGAAGGAACTGTCAATGGGTGCGGGGGGGGCACCTCTTGCTGTGTGCCCCTGGATCTGTGCATGAGATGACAGCAGGCTGCTGTCACTTAGTGCAGCTTACCCTGAATTCTGGGAAAAGCTGGGTGCCACAGCTGGCCCCAGCCTGCAGCGGCAGCCTGCTGTCATTCTGCGCGCAGATCTGGGGGCACATGCCCTCCTGGGAAGAACCTGGTACAGCCCTCAAGCCTAAAGCCCTGAAGGGTGTGCAGCAGCAAGAGGCGTGTCTCTCCCCCCCCCATTGCACCCACTGACAGTTCCCTTCACTGCTGCTGCTGGCCACACCGAGGGCCGCTGCAGCAGGGGCTAGGGTGAGTGCAGAAAAGCTGCACCGTGCGCCGTTCTCTGGCAACGTATGTACCACATAAATCAAGGGAAACCCGTACTTGGTTTGAAGTCACATAATCAGGGTTGGAAGGAATTGTGGGCATTATCATCTAGGCTAACCCACTGCACAAAAGCAGGATTATTTTCCTAACTACCCAGGGAGATGCCAGCTGAGTCTCAATTAAGTTGATGCTAAACTGGGCCACTTACTCCATTGTCTATTTTTAGTTTGTCTTGAAGTGTAGCAAATAAATCTCAGACCAGTTACCTTGTGCCTACAGGGGAATGAACAGGTTTTGGGGATTTTCTTCCTCTCCATGGTAGCCTTTTCAATAAACAAATATCATGTGCCCCTTACTTAATCTCTCTTTCTCCAGCTGAAATGTCTGTACCTTCACCTGCTCATATCTTTGGGTCTTTAAAGCTTCTCTATGCCCTTTTTTCAATGCAGCTCTCCAAACTGGACATGCTATATGAGCTGAGGCCCCAGTCAGTGATAATATCATCTTGCATGCACACATTCTGTTACTGTATTTGCTTTTTTCCAGTATTCCATTGACTGCAAATGCTCCATATTGGTCTCTTTAATAGTGCTTTAGAATGCATTTTGACGGAGTGAGACTTCTCATTCATATCGCAGTTTAGTAAGTGTTGGTACACAGTAATTCTTACACAGGTAATGCTGCAGTTTGATCACATACCTCCTTATTACCTAACAGGCTTCCATAAGCTTCAATTTGAATTAGCCTTTTCCTGATTGCCTCCAAAGAGGAGTCCAGCTAAGTTGTTAATGTAGCTGAGAAGGAAATAGGAACTAACAAGTAACTGCTGTAATTGCCTACTGATTATGGGGGTGTGCGCTGATGGAAACTCTGTGTCTCGCTACAACATGAAGCCTTGGCCATGCTTTCGTGAGTCATACACCTTAGTGCTGCTTTCCAGAACAGAAACTCAATTTGGTGAAGCAGTGCTGCAGTCTGTTCCAGTAGCTACAAAGTGCTATATAACCAGGTGAGTGGGAGCTATGTATGCAGACAAAGACAAGCTTGCTTTACAGTGACTGATGTACTTTTTTTTGTACTTATGGATCTTATGACCTACCCTCCTTAATTACAACATAGAATCTTGTCCCCTGGAATCTGACAGAACTGAGTCGTGATCCTTTATTCCCTTAGGAAGGGAGGAGGTGGTGCAAATGCTGAAAGTTGCATCAACAACCCCAGTGACACTTCTGGTCAAAATATTCCAACTTCCTGTGCAAAAGGCACCCCTGTACCAGGACTAAGATACCAAATAACATCAAAGAATGACAGTCATTGTATGTCAAGTCACCTTTCATGCATTTGAATCATGAGAAACTAAGGCATGATGCTGTTTGAAGTCAGGGAGTGTTGCATTGATTAAACAAAAACAGAATCAAACTCTAATTACTTTTCCAAGTTATTTTAGCATGTAACTCCATTATTTTATCTTGACTAGGCAATAAGAGTTTTTACAGAGAGATCTCTGTTTTGGAGTCAAAGGCCCTGATGAAAATGAATATAAAACCAGAATGCACTTCATTACAATTAACTGAGATAAAAGACACATGTTTGAGGATTCCATATCCGTCCTCAATAGGGTGCTTCTTTTTGAGAAGACTTCATGCCTGCTGCCTGAACAAGGCAGTGTTGCTTGTGGTTAGTGCACACAACTGCAATCAGGACAGTGAGGATCCAGTATGATGAGCCCTTTGGCTAGGATCAGAAGTTACACATAAGCCAGTTTAAGTGTTCAGAAACTGGTTTACACCTGTAACAGAACATAAGTTCAGTGCACATAAACTGGTTTCAAAATGGCCAAAACTGATTTAAGATAAACCTAATTGAATGTAGTATCAGACTTAACTGCTTTGGGTCAAACCAGTTTATGAAACTTCTGTCCCAGGCCCCTTCCTGGTTCAAGTTAAATCACAGTTCCGCAGCATGCTTTCCAGCCCTGGGCTGGGCTGGGCTGTGGTCTCTGCTCCAGAGAGCAGGGCTGGCCCTACCCCTCTGCTCCCTAGTTGGAGCAATGAGGGCTGGCTGACAAGAGGTGGGGGGTGGCAAGCCTGGCTGGGGTTGCAGCCCAGTATACAGGGGAGGCTGTCCCTGCCCTGCCCCAGGCAAACCCCAGCTGAGGTTGGGGGCCAGGGGGTTTAAACACCCCTTTCCCCACCTTATATTTACTACTGCTGCCTGCAACTGTGGATTACAGAGGTACCTGGAAGGCAAGAAGAGAAAGCGATGCACAACCCTGCAGAATCCTGCTGCTATAATTCTGGACTGCAAATCCCAGAGACCTTGGGGGCAGCAGGAAGAGGAACTGAAAACACAGCCAGAAAGCTATGCTCTAGGGCCCTCTGGCTTCTGGCCTGAGCCACTGCAGGCACGTGGCTGCATTCCCTGAATCAAAGGTAAATGTCTGTTCACTTCTGTTTCAATTTAATCTGTCCACAGTTTAGACTAACCTGCAAAGACTGAATCGATTCAGCCTAGGGCTTTTTGATTGTCTGTATCTAGCCTTTGTGTGAATCCTGAA